ATACTTTTTCACTCAATTGAACTCCTTTCCATCAGCACTGGATTAGATTATGTTGTGGTTCTGTCACTTATTGAAAAGGTTGAGGAATTTATCACCATTGTTGTCATGTTCTCGTCGACCACTTGGAACTTAGGATTTTTAGAAATAATCTTGTGTTTCAGAAAGGAATCAGCAACATTGTACCAAAGATGAATTTTTTGTTATTCAAATCTGTTATTGTAAAAATCAGGACCCATCAAAATGGCAGCCATAACCAAAATAATACCACTAGTTATAAATTTATAAGGAACCAATTATCAGAGACCAAACATTAGTTTTATCTAGGCAGGTCAAAGCTGTAGAACTTACAGAAGACAGATATTGGTGCACTTATTTATCAGGAAAGAAGCATACAGCATTCAGTTTTGCCAGAATGTGTTCAAGTCTTTGCAAGACCAGGCAAAGTTGGTATTCCATTATACCGTGTAGCAATGGGGGGTGGCTGTTTAACAATGTAACTATTTAGGTGGAATTACTGGGATCTTTATAAAGCTTTCATTGGGACATCAGAAGAGTTTGAAGTTTATGATTTTTGCAGCTTCTTCCTAAGGGACAACCACAAAAAGCTTTTTCTCCAATACCAAAACCAGCCAAATATTCACTCGAATTTGAGGAAATGACACACGACTGACCTTGTATGCATCTGATAAACAAGGTGCCATTATTACTAGATTTTGAGAATTTGATCTGAGGTGTATCCTTATATTTGATTGGTTAAACTAATTCTATTGTTCTTAATCAACTAAATATATATTTGAGCTCAAACCTGAGAAGAATTCCGCAATTTATTATTGACAATTTGGGTGTTTTTTTTTTGGCATGAGTTAAGCTGTTTCTGGTTATTTCTTGATTACATAGCATAATCATATAAACATAGGGGTTATAATACACATGAAAACATATTAACATTTTCATCAGCATGCAGTTGCGCATTTGACTTTGATTTTACTTTCTTTTCTTTCCTCAAATGTTTTTGTGCTTCCAACTTCAAAATTGTTACTATATCTTCTTTCTTACCATTCTCAAACCAGCATGGATATCATACACAAACGTTTATGCCTTGATCAATACTCATTCAACCCTTTGGTGCAAGGCATTGACGCAGACTCCTTGCATTCTTGCCATTTTCCCATTTCTTCCACCTTCTCCTCAAGCCTGTGGGACAACCAGGACCAGCTGCACAAGTTGTTGTAAGAAAAACTTTCCTCCCTAGAAAAAACAAAATGCAGGATTAAGTCGTTACAACATGATGTCTCAAGCTAGACATTTTATGTGGTTTTTATCTCTAACAAGTATCAGGCTGGAGTAGTCCTAGGCCCTCGGTTTTGTGCCGTATTCATGACATTAGGGAATCCTTCATTCAGCCTACCTACTTCCGCGGATTATTATCAGTTTTTCTCATACTTGTTTGAGATTATATTTATGTTCTTAATTGGTTTGAGACAGATATATCTTTTTCAAAGCACAGCAACTTGTGTGTAGCAAGCATTATTACTTAATAGTGGGTTGATCTTAAATAGCATCCTTGGAGCAGCTTTGACCCCACTTCTCATCAGCTACTGAGAATCCCCGACCAGAAGCTACAATTTTCTACTGGTATCATGATGTAATTCGATTAGTAGCTGATTTGAAACTCGACAGTACTCAGATGTAGGAAGCTTGGCAGTAACTTATTCTTTGGTCAATGAAATGTCATGTGTTCTTGTAGAAGATTCTCCATATCACGCTGTGGATTCATGGAAAAGTTTTTCATACTTACTACCGTTCTTGATACCGGATCGCTTATTGGTTTGAGCCGATACTTGGCCTTATGGATTAACGAGTCAGACAGGGGTAAAATATACCTGAACAGCGCGTATATTTATTTATTTTCCTGATTCTGGTGGTAACAATTATTGTTGTTTCTTAGTTGGTTTCATGTTTCCTAGAAAAGGAAAAACATGTAGGATACACTTTTGTCTTTTCTCTCTTCTTCATTTGAACGTGAAGAGCTCAACCCAAGCCCCAAAAATGGCCGTCCAGTCCCGCAGGCCCTATCCAACACTCTTCACTCTCTCTATGACACTCCTCTCTTCATCCCTGGTGATTCTTGTTGTATTTTTCGAGTCAAAGTATAACATTTCCGATACAGTTAAACAGGCCCAAACTGATTCTCAAGTGTTCACATATCCTAGGTGGTTTGATCTAGTTAGAGAAGAGATTAATGGTAAGAAGATTAAGGTCGGTTTGGTTAATTTCGACGATGAAGAGCCTGCATACAAAATACATGGATCAGTTCTTAGTACTGTTCACGTACGTTTTGACCATGTGTCCAAGACGATCAAATGGGGGGATTTTTTCCCCGATTGGATTGATGAAGACGAGGAGTTTGGCCTACCGTCGTGTCCGACGATCCCCATGCCGCGGCTGGAGGATTATCGGGACCTCGACATCGTGATGGCTAGGGTGCCTTGTGATGGGTGGACAAGGACGTCAGGGTTGAGGGATGTGTTCAGGCTGCAAGTTAATTTGGTGGTGGCTAACCTTTTGGTAGAGAGTGGTTGGGTCATGGAGCCTGATGTTAAACGGGCGGTGTATGCGGTGTTCGTCGGCAGCTGTGGGCCCATGCCGGAGATATTCAGATGTGATGATCTGTTGAGGAAGGCAGGGGATCATTGGGTGTATAAGCCTGAGTTGAGAAGGCTGAAACAGAAGGTGCTCATGCCTCTAGGGTCCTGTCAAATTGCTCAGCCATACGCCAAAACAGGTGAGTTTCCTAAAACGTACACAACTTTTTGATAAGGTGGCATGACTTTGACTTAACCATGTATATATATAATTGATAATTAAATATATTGAATCCCAAAATTTGGCAAAATTTCACCCATTTCTTCTTAAATTTTGTTATATTATATCTATTGTTGTATGTTCTAACAGTTGACAACTTGTACAAAATTTGAACAAGTCCTAACAATTGTAAAGTTGGTTTTTTTTTTATTAAGGCAAAGAGGTTTGGAGATATTTCTTGTCAGAAGACAAGGTAAAGAAACAGGAATACAGTGTGTTCCATCAAAAGGAGGCCTATGTAACAATCCTCCACTCTTCCGAAGCTTATGTTTGTGGTGCAATAGCTTTGGCACAAAGCATTATTCTATCCAATTCGACTCGAGACCCTTTCTTTAATTTGTTAAGTAATTCTGCTCGAGACCTGCTCCTCCTCCACGATGAAAACATTTCCCCCAAGTCTTTGACAGGGCTCAGAGCTGCAGGGTGGAAAACCAGGCAAATCGAACGCATAAGGAGCCCCTTTGCCAAGAAAGGTTCTTACAACGAGTGGAACTACAGCAAGCTCAGGATTTGGTTGCTAACATGGTATGATAAAGTGATTTTCATCGATGCAGACGTTCTAGTTCTCAAAAACATGGATGGGCTATTCGTTTATCCTCCATTGTCAGTTGCTAGCAATTATGATAAAACTTTGTTCAACTCGGGAATCATGGTGGTTGAGCCATCATTGTGCATGTTTGAAGACTTGATGATGAAAAGGCTCGAGGTGGATTCATACGACGGAGGGGACCAAGGGTTTCTCAACGAAGTCTTCACATGGTGGCACAGGTTGCCTTCCAAGGTGAATTTTCGGAAGATTTTTCAAAGGAATGGGAGTCGGAAAAACATCCCTGATGATCTTTCTGCTATACATTATCTGGGGTTGAAGCCATGGATGTGTTACAGGGACTATGACTGCAACTGGGACATGAAAGAGAGGCAGATTTTTGCCAGTGACAAAGCTCATGAAAAGTGGTGGCAAGTCTATGATACAATGCCTGAGAACTTGCAGCAGTATTGTGGGTTGACTGAGAACAGGGATAGTAGGATAAAGAAATGGAGGAAAATTGCTAGGTATCTTAGGCTCCCTGATGAACATTGGAGGATTGGTGTGAAAGATCCTAGACAGTACAATCTTGTTCAATAAGAAGAAGGGTGCCAAATTCTTGAAGGAAAAAACATAATTTATGTCATTTGTAGTATACCATTAGAAAATAATGTAAACTTCAAAGTTGGAGCCAAAGGTTTAGTATATCTTTAAAAAGTTTAAGAAATTTTAATTTAAATAAAAAAAGTACACATGCACATTACATCCGGATAATTTTATACAGAGAAATTAATAGTGTAAATCTTACAAAAAACACAACTTATTCATAATGTATTACTTAAAAAACATTGCAACACATTGAAACACATCAAACTAATCTTCCTAATAACATAGGAGCATAATCAAATATATAAAGACATCACACTTTTCATATTCAAACAATTCAATATAGATTCAATATAAAGTACTATCTACTTACATTTTTTATATAATTTTAATTGTTGTGATTTTATTGTTTTTAATTAACATTTCATAAATAAGTTTTATTCTCATAGAAAATCACACTCGTATTTTTAAGTGTAAACAAATAGGTTAACTCTTGAATAGAGAATATTCAATAATTTTATCGAGTGAAACGAATAATGTAAAATCTTATGAGAATAGAACTTATTTATAATGTATTAATTTGAAAAAAAAATCACAAAATGTCATGAAGAAAAATTGAATCCAATAGGACCTAAGCGGTAATTACTACTCAAGTGCAAAGCTTAGAAATATGAAAGCAAACATAAGATTAAAACATGCTTTCTAGTCATCCATAAATTTTGCAGCCACCATGAAACTTGTAATCAGGAGACGATGCGCATTGAGTGAAGTAATTAGATGAGAACCCATTCTTTCCAGGAATCCGTCGACATATATAAGTGCAACAGCAAAGCAAGAATTGCTGCATTTGGAGTACTTGAAGATGCGTCCAACATACTGTCTAATGCTCAAGGCAGGTGCTTTTGTACCATGGAATATGGTAACAACATCCATCCTCCTTGATCCCCCTATCAGCTTTTCATTCCTCTGGATGGACCTTTCCAGGGTAGAAGACAGAAGGGATAAAACTATGAGAGCTCCTGGAACCCAAATTACTTGATTCATCTAATTAATCCAAAAGATGCGTAAAGGATCACACCCGACAGCCTTGCCTTTGATCATCATTGTTCCCATGCTTAAACCATTTGTTCTCTAGTAGGAGTTGAAAGGTATCCACGTTTTGGGATAATGTAAGATCCCAAATTCCTAAGTTGGTCTTTGAGGCTTTGTTTCTGTTTCCTTTAAACTTGATTTTGTGGTAGTGATGATGTAATGCTATTGAAATAATCTATCAAAACTCAGCTTGGTAGCCATACTTGACCTTATGTTTTTATGTTTTAAGAAATGATTTTTTATAGTCTCTTAAATTAGGGTTTAATTCAATAACACACCACATTAATTATTAAATTATATTTTTCTATTCCGTTCATAATAATTTTTTTCATTAAGATGTTGAATCACGAAAATTTCTTACATCTAGACTCTGGTCAAAAGGTACATGTAACGTTTATGACTTTATTGATTAGATTATCAATAGTTTGCTCATCGTATGATGATGTACATATACATAGATGAAGTTCAAATTTCTACTTAAACGATTAATTTTTATAAAAAAAAGTTGACTATTACTTTAAATCAATTTATTGTTAGCTAATAATGAAGGTTAAATAAATAATCCAAGATCCAATTCCAATTCCACTGACCATTATTTCAAACTTCTAATTATGGTATATATCACACATGTCAAGGAAAAATTAAAAGGAGGATTTGGGTTTCTTTACTAAAATGTCTAATAATTAAATGAATGTCTTGGTTGTGTTGACATATATATACATATATATATTCACACACAAAAGTGAGAAAAATATCCCAAATTAATGGAAAATAGTGGTTTTCCTAACCCCAATCTGTAATCCAACTAAGCTTTTAACATCCAAATATGTTTTCACTCTCATAATTAATGCATGTGTGTGAGAGAATATTATATCCTACGATCAAAACTACCCGACGTGCAACCATGCACATATGCCAACACACTACCAACTCTTTCCACCCACGTTTCCTTATACAAACAAGTTTTCCCTTCAAAGTCTCCTTCTTTCTTCTTCGTGTGGAGAGCTCAACCAAAGTCCCAAAAATGGCCACCAAGTTCCTCAATTCCAACCAAAAACTCTTCATCCTCTCTCTGATACTCCTCTCTTTATCCTTGATGATTCTTCTTGTATTTTTCGGGTCAAAGTATAGCATTTTCGATACGGGTAAAGCCCAGATCGAGCCTCAGGTGTTCACATATCCTAGGTGGTTTGATCTTATTAAAGAAGAGATTGATGGGAAGAAGATTAAGGTTGGTTTGGTTAATTTCGGTGATGAAGAGCCTGCGTATAGAGTGCATGGATCAGGTGTCAATACTGTTCACGTACGTTTTGACCGTGTATCCGAGGCTAGCAAATGGGTGGATTTTTTCCCGGAATGGATTGATGAAGACCAGAAGTCAGGCCCGCCGACGTGTCCAGAGATCCCTATGCCACGGTTGGAGGATTATCGGGACCTCGACGTCGTGGTGGCTAAGGTACCGTGCGATGGGTGGACAGGGAAGTCAGGGTTGAGGGATGTGTTCAGGTTGCAAGTTAATTTGGTGGTGGCTAATCTTTTGGTAAGGAGTGGTTGGGTCATGGAGCCTGATGTTAAACGGCCTGTGTACGCAGTGTTTGTCGGCGACTGTGGGCCCATGCCGGAGATATTCAGATGTGATGATCTATCGAGTAAGCTAGGGGATCATTGGGTGTATAAGCCTGAACTGAGGAGGCTAAAACAGAAAGTGGTCATGCCTTTAGGGTCATGCCAAATTGCTCAACCATATGGGATAACAGGTGAGTTTCTAGTTTGCTTTAGTTTTGATTTTTTTTTTCATTTTTATGTTTTTTCTTCAACAAAAGAACCTTTTTATGTTTTAATTATTATTGATTAATGAGGAAAATTAGCAATTGTTCATGACTTTAAAGTTTTACCAAAAGTAGATATGCTACAAAATTTTTGGTTTTGGTAAGTTCTTGACTTCATTACTATAATTAGATCGTACACAACTTTTGTTAAGGTGGCATGAGTTTGACCTTACCATGTATATATAATTAATAATTAACATTGAATCATCAAAATATGGCATATAAGTAATGTGCAAGCTCAGCAAAAATTTCACCCATTTCAGGTAAGGAGGCTTGGAGATATTATTCCTTGCCAAAAGAAAAGCGAAAGAAATTGAAATACAGTACATTCAATCAAAGGGAGGCCTATGTAACAATTCTCCACTCTTCGGAAGCTTATGTTTGTGGTGCAATAGCTTTGGCACAGAGCATTATTTTAGCCAATTCTACTCGAGACCTACTCCTCCTTCATGATGAAAACATTTCCCCCAAGTCCTTGACAGGGCTCAGAGCTGCAGGGTGGAAAACCAGACAGATCGATCGTATCCGGAGCCCTTTTGCCCAAAAAGGTTCTTACAACGAATGGAACTATAGCAAACTCAGGATATGGTTGCTAACATGGTATGACAAGGTGGTTTTCATCGATGCAGACGTTCTAGTTCTCAAAAACATGGATAACCTATTCATTTATCCTCCACTGTCAGCTGCTGGCAATGATCAAACTTTGTTCAACTCGGGAATCATGGTGGTCGAGCCATCATTGTGTATGTTCGAAGACTTGATGGTGAAAAGTTTCCAGGTGGATTCATACAACGGAGGGGACCAGGGATTTCTAAACGAGGTCTTCACATGGTGGCACAGGTTGCCTTCCAAGGTGAATTTCTTGAAGGTTTTTCAAAGGAATGGGAGTCGAGAAAACATCCCTAATGACCTTTCTGCAATACACTATCTGGGGTTGAAGCCATGGATGTGTTACAGGGACTATGACTGCAACTGGGACATGAAAGAAAGGCAGATTTTCGCCAGTGACAAAGCTCATGAGAAGTGGTGGCAAGTCTATGATGCAATGCCTGAGAACTTGCAGCACTACTGTGGGCTGACTGAGAACATGGATTGGAGGATAAAGAAATGGAGGAAAATTGCTAGGAACCTCAGGCTTCCTGATGAACATTGGAGGATTGGTGTAACAGATCCTAGACAGCATAATTTTGTTCAATAAACAGAAGGGTACTGCCAAATTCTTGAATGGAAAAACATAATTTATGCCATTTTTAATCTAAAATTAGAATCCAGACCTTCTCTTCTCTCTATTCAAATTCCTTTATTTTGGATTTAAAATAATAATATAAAAATGCAAATTTGGAACCAAGGATTTAGTTAATCTCTCTCTTCTTTAAAAGGTTTAGGAAATTTTTAAATAGTAACAAAAGAAAGTGTTGAAGAATTTGGAAGGCAAAGGCATGGTGTCATGGCACAAAGAAAACAATCATTAAGGGAGCAGCATCTCTATGTCTCTACCCACCAAATCAAAAACTTTCTAAAAAAATAAAAAAGAAAATCAAATATTTTATCTACATGATCAATTACTAATGCTTTTCTTTTCTTTTTCTTTTTATTTCCCTCTTTATGAACCAAAATTAGTGGTGGGATATTATCATAGCTCTGAATTTTGTAGTTTTTAACATAAAAATTTATTTTTATTATTTTTGTCCTTTGATAATTATTTTGTCAAGTATAATTAATTGTATTGAAAGTAATTTTGATGAACTTTAATCCATTTGCTCTATTTTTTTTCAAGAAATTAAAATAAAAAATCTGATTTTGATGTATTTTATATCAAAATTTAAAGTTTTTATAATATATATTTAATATTTTTTAACATAAAAAGTAAAAAAATATTTAAAAATAAGTTTATAATATAAAGAAATAAAAATATTAGATATTTGTAAAAAAGTAAGAAATTCATTTTGAGATATCCCAAAAATAAAAAAATAGCTGAAACAATATATAACGAATTAAAACACGTAAATAACAAATATGATTATTATTATTATTAAATGAAAATTAATTCACTTTGACATAATTAAGAAAAGCATTTTCCAAAAAATATATCTTACTTTTTCCTAGTAGTAATATTTTTTTGCATAGTGTTTCAAAAATATCAACAAAGTAAAAAATAAAATTTTTTTCCTACTCATAATAAAAATAATTCTTACTATTTTCCTAAAATAAAAAAATATTTGGTATTTTTGAAAAAGCAACCACACCCAACCTTTTCCCTCCTCTCTTTCTCTCTCTCCAAGTGCAAAGTTCTAATTGTTTTTTTTTTTCTCTCTTACTTTTGCCGACCAAAGAAAGAAACGAAGAAAAGGATGAAAGAATGGAACTTTAAAACGAGTTAACTCACTGGAATCTCGCTCTTTCTCTTTCCTCAACTTGGGTGTTTTTTTTTTTTTGTTTTGAAAATGCAAGACCTCTTCGGATCAGTTCGGCGTTCGCTGGTGTTCCGTACAACCCCAGACAATATCAACAACACCCAAGAAAACAGCCCCCCGATTCCAACTACAGCCAATGCCTTTGTTGAAAAGATAAATTCTTGCATCCGCAAATCGCGGGTCTTCTCTAAACCTTCCTCTCCTTTGCCTTCTCCTCCTCCGACGATCCGATGGCGGAAAGGGGAGTTGATTGGTTCTGGTGCCTTTGGCAGGGTTTATATGGGCATGAATCTTGATTCTGGAGAGCTTCTTGCTGTCAAAGAGGTGTTTTTTTCTTTCTTTTTGAATTGGTGGATTTTTGGGTTTTTTTTTTTTTTGCGGTTTCTTTTAATGAGTTTCAGTTAATTGTGGGTTCGAAATTGAAACTCTGAGATGGGTTTGGGTTTGTTTTGAGCTTTTTCATTGATTTTTGGATTTTGTTTAATCTTTGAAGTGGAATGTGATCTAAAGTTAGTGGATATGAAATTGATCTCATTTGTTTCTTGGCCTTTTGTTGTTTCAGGTTCTAATTGCAGCAAACAGTGCTTCAAAGGAGAAAGCACAGGTTTGGACTTTGAACTTGGTTCTTTTGTCTTTTTAGCTAATAAAACGATAAATATCTTATCTCAGAGTAAATAGTTGCTATTAAGTAGGTAAACGTTGTCATTTTCCATAGAATGGGAGAATTCTTGAGATTCTGAAATTAGTTTCACTTATTGTTAGCTTCCTGCCAATGAAATGTTTGATTATCTAGGTATCTGAAGTTTCAGTTCTTAATACATAGAACAGAATTTTCCACCTATGATGATTGGTACTAGTTTCGCTTGTCATTGTTAATTGAATGAGGAATTGCCGTAACATGACCAACCTTGATTTGCTTCTTGTTATGTAAGTAGGCTCATGTCAGGGAGCTTGAGGAAGAAGTAAAGCTTCTCAAGAATCTTTCACATCCGAACATTGTTGTAAGTAATGACTATGCTGTTTTGTATATTGATTGAATTGATGAAGGGTATTGCCTTTCTTTCATCGGGACATACTTTCCATCTCCAGAGATATTTGGGAACAGTGAGGGAGGAGGAAACCTTAAATATTTTGCTCGAATTCGTCCCTGGTGGATCTATTTCATCACTTTTGGGAAAATTTGGACCCTTCCCTGAAGCTGTAAGTCATGGATGACAGAAGTTTTTGAATTTTGTTGTTTTTAATGCTAATCTTGTGTACTAATTTCTCAAACAGGTTATAAGAAAATACACGATGCAGTTATTATTGGGCCTCGAGTATTTACACAACAATGGCATTATGCACAGGGACATTAAGGTACATTTTATTTTCCAGCCATTAATGTTATAAATTGAAAAAGGTCCTTGGTTTCTTTCTCTCTTCTCTTTTTCTGATGAATAAATAATATGCTCATTCTATCTATTGGCAGGGGGCAAACATCCTGGTAGATAATAAAGGGAGCATTAAACTTGCAGATTTTGGTGCATCCAAACAGGTCGTTGAGCTGGTAATTGTGCAACTGGTCAACCTTATATTTACATTTACAGTTTTCTCCATTTTAGAATGTAGTTTTCACTTAAATCAATACTTATAAATCACGTTTAGTTCTAATAGAGATGGTGTTTCTGTAGGCTACTGTTTCTGGTGCCAAGTCTATGAAGGGTACGCCATATTGGATGGCTCCTGAAGTCATTTTGCAGACAGGGCATAGTTTGTAAGAACAACTGGATCACTAAATAAGTCTAATTGTTTACATGTGTGCCAGTTCTCTATGACATGCTTAGAATTGGTTGGCTTCCTGTGAATTTGACTATGGTAGATCTCTGAGGTCCCCACTCTATATTCCTCGAAGCATTTAAATGATATTATAGCTTTCTTTGCTGGTCTTTGCATGTGCTTCGTATTTATTAATTAGCTATTTTTGCTGCATGTATAGTGGATCACTGTAGATTATGATGATTGATATATGATATTTAAATTATATCGATGTACTGAACTTTACTGATACTTTATGGATACAATTTTCTAGTTCTGCTGATATATGGAGTGTTGGCTGTACGGTGATTGAAATGGCCACTGGAAAGCCTCCTTGGAGCCAACAATACCAAGAGGTAACTGGTCTCTTGACATTTTAAAGATTGTTCTATGAGGTGTTCTTTCATCATTGTACTCATGTGTTTGTTCAGGTTGCTGCACTCTTCTATGTAGGGACAACGAAGTCTCATCCACCTATTCCAGAGAATCTTTCTATTGAGGCAAAAGATTTTCTGCTGAAATGTTTGCAAAAGTATGTTATCTTTTTCTGTGATTCTAGGAGTAAATATATAGGATAAACTTTCTGGCCTTTTTTTCTCTTCAAACCTGTGGTGTATGACCATATGTGTTATGCAATTTCAGGGAACCAGAGTTAAGGCCAGCAGCATCTGAACTGCTAAAGGTGATTGCCGTTTGATTAATATTTCCCTTTGTCATTTGGACATTACATGCTGCAGTTGCTGTAGGATTAATATTCTCGATTGTCAACTACATGCAGCATCCCTTTGTCACTGGAGAATCCCAGGAGTCTAATCCCATTTTGCATGCTTCAGTCATGGTCAGTACACTTGAACTGGATTCTATTTATTTTGTTTGTTTGTCTTTTCTCCCTTAGAACTTCTGAAATTTATCTCTTTCATCAGGAGAACTCTGAAATCCCTTCATCATTACATGCCACTAACCACGAAGGCTCGTAAGTATTATAATTTGAACTTGTAAAGTAATTGCATTGTCAATTGTCAAGCTGGAAAGGGTCTTTAACTATGGCATCAGTTTTCTTTCCAGTAAAGTTTCAACGTGTCCTGATTCGGTAGATATCTGTAATTTGGGTAGTCTGAACTGCTCAAACACATTTGTTGAGAAGTTTTCAGAAAGCAAAGACTCGTGGAGAATGAACTGCAGTGAGGATGATATGTGTCAGATTGACAAAGATCATTTAGGTCTTTGTTCCTCTTCAATGCTTGATAATGTTAACAAGGTAACTGCATTCATGCTTTTCTCAAGGTTCAGATATTTTAATCATTTGAGAATTACAGCTGCTAATTCATGAATCATCTTCTTGTACTTAGAGTTCTGATCCCCTTTGTGAACCTTCCCATGACTGGAAGAGCAAATTTGGTGAAGATCCTGAAACAGTTCCGGTTGGTGGCCCTACAACTTGTGGTAAGGGGGGCAATGATTATTCCTTTACTTGTGGGCCATCACTCTCAGAAGATGATGATGAACTCACTGAATCAAAAATTAGAGCCTTTTTGGATGAGAAGGTACTATTTTATCAGATTCTCTTAAATTTGGCCTCATGTCAGATCATTTTGACAATGAAGTTTTAACCAACTCCTCAGGCTTTGGAACTAAAGAAGCTGCAAACACCATTATATGAAGAGTTTTACAACAGCTTGAATGTAGCATCCTCCCCAAGTTTTATTGAGAATAAACGAGATGAGACACCCCCAAATTACTTGAAATTACCTCCCAAAAGCAGGTCCCCAAGTCGTGGTCCTATTGGCACCCCATCTTCTGCAGCTGATGCTATTGGTACTGGGAGCCCTGGGAGTAATAATAGCAGGCGTGTGTCAAATATTGGCCATGCTAGTGACCAAACTTCACAGGACAATTCATCACCTCAGCTTAGTGATTGGAAAGGGCTTCTAGTTGATGGCCAGCCAGAACCGAGCAGCCCAAGGTTAGTCCATAGTTGATTGGTTTGTTG